TAAGCACTTGTGTGAACCTTTCACACCTTAGAAGTGTCCCTTCCAGCTTCTTCTCTGGTGTGTTTTTCCAGAGAATTCACTCAATGGCATCCTGGAGAGGACAACTGGTCTCTGAAGGCTGTTACGTAACTTTCGTTCTGTGTTCCTGCTTAGGAGATGCGGGCGACCAGCGCCTTCCAAAGCAACCCAGGTGTCATTCCGAGATCCCTTTCCACCAAACCCCGGGACCATGTAGAAGCTAAAGGAGTTATTTTAGCTTCCCCCAAAGAACTGCCAACACCAACCCTTTTAAGGTTATATTTGGCTTACTGAATCTCTTTGGGGATGAATATATTTGACACCCTGTAGTTAACTGTCCTAAAAAAAAAAAAGTCCATTTAATTTAGAAATCTATCAATAATCAAGTCACCCCCATTTTCCTGACATCAAATCTGCATGCTTTTGTCAGTGCCAGGCATTATTTAGCAATTCAGGACTAAGGACACAATTTGGTTACGGGACACACTGCAGTAATGCGGAAACGAGGTGTAATAGCGGGCGACTTAAACGCTAGCAGTGTATTTAAAATGYTGCTGGGCTCTGAGTTTGCTGATCCTGAGAGTTCTGAGCCCAGCTTCCTCATCTGGTGCACGAGGACAACAATGTCTGCTCTGCAAAGTTGTAAGACAAAATGTGGCTCTTTCTCTCACCCTCTCTATCTGAAAATGACTTCACCAGGAAGCCTGGCCCCAGGCAATGGCTATGCAGGTGTCCCAAGGAAGCTGGCAAGCACCCTGCTGCCGATCCACGCACGGCTCACCATTTTCAGCTTCAGCTAAGTTCAAGGCTCTAATTAAAGTATTTTTCATTTTCAAAACAAATGCAAACAGCAATTACGTACTTCCCCTCCTTTCCTTCCAGGAAGAGGCTGAGACTGAGTTGAAATCCCTGAGTCCCTTGGACTGCGAGGCTTTACAGATAGAACGACATATTCTTCCTACCCCATTGACCCACATTACATAATGGTTCCTGTGTCTCCTGCCACATGGATTCCAGAGAGGGTCAGGGCTCTCAGACGTGTGGCAAGACTCCACCATGTAAGGAAACCCTGACGGGAAAACTGGCATAGTCACCTTCAGGATCAAAGTCCCATCACCACACATTTAGAGTACTGAGTCTCCACGTAGGGTAAAACAATGCACCTTTGATAACGACCAGTTCCTCATTGTTCATGTGGATGTCTAATTGAAAATGTTACATAACCTTAATGTACAAAGCATTCTGGAGCTTTTAATAACGAGTTGCATCCAAATTGTGAGGATTCTTCAAGCTTAGAGTTAGAGGAGGTCTGGTACACACACACACACACACACACACACACACACACACACACACCCATTGCATATATGTAAACCGAGATCCAGAGAAAGAACAATCTACCCAAGACCACAAAGCAAAGCAGCAAGAGAGTCAGGACTCAGTTCCAGGTTTCCTGATCCCTGGAGGCTGTTCCTTTCCTCTGTGGCTTCATGTGTCCACGTGTGTAAGAACACACAGGCTGCAGCACTTGAACTGGGACCTCACAGCTTTGATTGAGCAGGACAGCCAGGAACAAGAGAGCTCATGGTCCAAGCTTCTGAGTTAGAAATGGCAAGCAAATGCCTTGTCATTGCGATTTATTTGAGACACACACCATCCTGCACTCCCCTAAGACATCTGGGCACTTCTACCACATTCCACATGCAGTCACTCTGGGTATGGTAATGGAAGATCCTGGCTTTCAAGACCTTCCCCAAAAGAAGCATTTGTTCTTGCCTGCACGTTTTCATGCTGGGGGAAAGAAGAGCAGAAAATGTGAGAAAACTGACAAATTAAAAATCAAGAACCAGGAAGGGGAGTAATGGTTTATTGTGGAATCTGGCTATGGTTATCAGTAGTATGATATATGATCTGAAAATTGTTATTTCATAATTATGTTAACATTTTCCAAAGTAACTTAATGGAAATTGTTTCTCTRCATTCATTTTTTACTCAAAACCTCACCAGTGAATCATGAGGAGCTAAAACACAACACTGGGAGATGAACAACGTCGCCACACAGAAGGCATTGTGTTCCCCCCACAGACCCCATGAGCTTGTCAAAAAAGAAAGCYTGGGTCTGGTTTCATGAACTGCAAATAGTCATGCTGGGAGCTTAGTTTCTGGGAAAAAGGTGGTATATGCCCATTTCATTCGGGATTCAGAAACACTTTAAAAGGTTCGTCAATCCACATCTTAAAACGAATGATGACAACCCCATTAACAGCCCATAGGTCAAGTTGATGCATTTAGCTGTAATTAACAGGCCAAAGCAAAGTCAGGGTCTGAACACCCTAGTCACCCACTTTCCTTGTCTCAGCCCTCTGTGTCCAGGCTCCACCTCTCTCTAACATCACCAGCAGATGACAGAGCTGGGAGATTAAACCATCTCTTTATTTGCTTGCACTAACTGTTCAGGCTGAGAAGGTTTTACCTATGCAAATATGATTGATTCATTCTGAGATGGACAGGCCACGCTCAGTGGCTTGCTGCTTTCTAGCCTTCAGGGCATCTAGTTGATACATTTCATCTGTTCGTAGGGACTAATGTCATCTCTCCAATCGAAATGTCTAACCTATCCCATAACCCCMACATGGTACCTTGGCACATTTTATAACCATCATACTTTAGCCAAATAAATAGTCCACTAAAGCATGACACAGGCTTCACCTCCTTTGATCTGAACCTGAATTCCCCAGCACCTTTGGCACCAAGTCCTCTTCTTGAAAATCAACAATCTATTCAGTGGCAGAGGTTTCAGCCCATACATATGTGTTCCTTGGGCTCATGCACCCCAGCTCAGGTCTATACTCTATTAGCTGAAACAGATCTGAGAAGCCATCAGCCCAGCTCTGCCCCCTGTTCACTAAGGGGGAAACTGACGTCCCATTGCAAAGGCTGTTGCCCCAAACCTACACCTTCCCTGTCCATGTGGTGTAGACAAYTGAGCTCAACACTTTGAGACTCAACCATTGAAACGAGCTGCTCAGACCAGGAACAAATGGCTCCAAGTGGCTTCCCCTTTTAGGATCAATTTAAGTGCACTGACACAAACAGTTGAGAGCTATAGACAGGGAAAGCTGGGGGACTTGCAGGGGGGTATAAGCAGAAGGGCTCATGACTGCATTAAAGCCCCACCCCTCTTCTTTTGAACTGAGAAGTATGAAGTTCAGTTGACACAGAGGGGTGGCAAATGTGAGTCAAGACTGAGGTGGCCCCTGCGTAGTGGTCATCAGGGACCAACCCCGGCTGTTAAGTAACCATCTTCCTGACTTATACAACCCGAGCAGGTAATCTTCATCAGCCCTCACCCRGGGGAAGTTTTAAGATGCAGTTGTGAGTGTCTCTTGGGCACACAGCACAGAAGGGGCACACAAGACTGGAACTAACACTGCCCTTTCCATCCTTCTAGAGGTCTGTGAAACAGAATCCGGGGAAAGAAAGCACCCAAGAAAACATTGTCTTCCTACCCAAACAGAAGTAGCCTCACACTTGCAGTACACCTTAGGGGTTAGCAGCAACGGATGGAGCGATGAGACAAAAATGCATACTATCAGTGATTTATTCTATCTGAACTAACAGTCATTACAACAACTATCCCCCCACCACCACCCACGCACACAGACTCTTGAGCCTGAAAGCAGCTAGTAGAAGAAATGGGACAAGTGTGTTTGTTAGGAAGGATTGGCTTGGTGGAGGGCAGAGGAGCACCTAGGTGTTCAATCCTGGTCTCCCATTCTCTACCCTTGTGACCTTGATTAAGTCATTCAATCTCTGAGCCTCAGTTTCCTCATCTGAGCTATGGAGAAAGGAGGTCCTACTTCCTGGGGTGGTTTTAAGGCACACTGCCCAATACAGCCTGGACATCCACTTAACATCAGTTGTCCCCCCAAAGATACGTGCGAACCCAGGTTGCATACATATCGATATCTAGACCAAACAGGTCTCTTGCCTGCACGTCAAGCCCGCATCTGCCTCTCTAGGTCTTGAAGGCTCCTAGGCAGTTCGCCTTTCAGGCGGGATTTGAGAGCTGGGACGCCCTGATGGTTTCCAGGCTCTGGGTGGGAGCCGGGGAGGGGGATCGGAGGCGGCCTCCAAGCCCTGGAAAGGGGCTTTGTTCCCGARGCGAAGGGCCTGGCTTACCGAGAAGAGCATCCGGAGGCGGGCGGGGGGCGCGCGGGGCACGCAGCAGAGCCACAGCCCGGCCCGGGCCCGGGGCGCCAGAGCCAGAGGAAGGCGAGGAGGAGGAGAAAGAGGAAGCTGCCGCCGGCTCCTGCCTCATTCTCCCGAGCAGCGCTGACTCGCTGGCCGCCGCGGGCTGGGGCTGGCCGCTGGGCGCGGGATCCCGAGCGCGCTGCTCATGTCCCTGTCCGCCGCTGGGGAGGTGTGCGCGCAGCCTGGTGGTCTCTAGGCGATACCCAGGGGCTCCTCATGCCCCGCGCCGGGGCTCGGCTGGAGGACCTCGGGGAAGCAGAGCGGAGGAAAAGAAGGAGAAAAAGAAACCGTGAGAGCACGCAGAGCTGCGCCCCGCGGGGCCAGGGGCAGGCGGGCACCAGCAGGACCGCGCCGCCCCACCCTACGCGCCTTGACTCCCGGCGCTGCGCGCCCGGTGGGGCGCCGAGCCCCAGAAACTTTAGCACATGGCCAGTTCGGCGGCCACGGTGACCGGAGCTGCCCCGCGTGTCGCGYGCCCCCCACTCCCTCCCCGCCCCAGCCCAGGACCTGGAGCGCGGCTTACCGGCTGCTACCGCGACCGCTACCGCGACCGCAGCGGCGGGTCGCCCACCTGGCCGCGCGCGGAGCAGCGCGCACGAGCTGGGAAGGAGGAAGGGGCTGGTGGTGTTGGGGTCTCTGCAGGGGAGGGACACCTCGGGGGCCGCGATCGGTGTCGTTAAGTCATCCTGGGAGGGGGCTGAGCGAGAGCCTGGCGTCTGCAGCCCCGGATGGGGGAGGGTCCGTGCGCCCCCSGCCCCGCGGCGCAGCTGCTGACGATGCGCGCGGGCTTCCCCAGCCCSGGGTCTGCGGAGCTAGCCTGTTACCTAGCGACTCGCTCCGGGGAGCCCACGCTGACGCGTGCGACGAGCTAGGCTGCGGCAGCCGAGGGGAGGGGGAGCTCCGGTGAGCGGGGGGCGGGGAGGGAAGGCCGGCGGCAGTGGCCCGAGCTCCTCCCTCCGCCTCCCACTTGGCGCTGGGAAGGGAACCTGGGGAAGACGTGGCCTCATCCTGGCCCTGGAGGATGAGGGCCCGCACTGGGCGGGGGGTGGATAGAGAAAGGCACTGTGATGCTCGTTCTACGCTGGGGCTACAGCAGCAGGTGGCGGCKACGTGGCCCGTGGAGGCCCGGCACCCATAGGCCCTCGGAGACCCCTGCGGGAGCTCGGCAAATGTGGCTATGGGTGCGTGGGTGTGTGTGACACGCTTCCACCCACGTGGCATATATGAGGACCTGGGGACGTGGGTGAAAGAAGCGCCTCCTCCTCCCTCTGGTTTCTCTCCCTCCTTCCTGGACATTTTGCTCAGGCACTGACTGACTTCATTATGGAAGCTCAGGTCGCTTAGCTCTCAGCTCTGAGCTCCTCCTGCCTTCCAGAGAACAGGAGGGTGGCCCAGCTTGAAGGTAGCTGCGTTGGGAAGAACCACTACCCCGCCCCAAGTCTGGCGGCCTTCCCATCCCTATATCTGTTCGCTCGCCCTGGGAGCTCTGTAACCTACCAGGAGGCCTGCCTCTTTCTGGATTTGAGCTCTCTCAGATCSACTGAGGTTCAAATTCCTGCCGGCCCCTCCAATTGTTTGCATTACAGTTACCTTTTTAAGTTGCTTAACATCTTCAGTAAAACGGAGTCTTTATGCCCATGGTAAATAGTTAATAATGGTGCCCAAGACCCTCCATGAATATGCTTTGTAAGGCCAGCAGCCTGTCTGCTGGTTGTCTCTCCAGAACATACCCCCATGCCCAGGTGAGAGGGGCAATGGCCTGGAAACATGACACAACAGAGGGACCCCTGGCTCTGCCGGTGAGGGAGGTAACTTGCCCAGGTCTRCTGTGCCCCACAAGCAGCAATGGGCACAGAACACAGACTTCTCAGTTAGCAGATTCCCAGGCCTACCTCTGCCCAACTTCAACAGCAGGGTGCAAGCACTGTTCCTTCTGCATTTCTCAGAACTCCATCCACATACAGAAGTGCTACCCCTCCAGAGAGCAGAGAGCAAAAAACCACAAGGTTGGGAAGGGATAGAGATGGGTCCTGGGGATGAGGTGGCAGGTGCTTCCTATTCCTATACTGTTGGAATATGTTTCAGTCTCAGCAGCTACTAGCAGCTGGAAGTGCCTGAAATATCCACCTTCCTTCAGGCCTGACAGAAGCGCCTGCAGGATGGGGTGAAACCACATCCTCAGCACTTGTGGTTAGCATTGCCAAACTGCCGGGTCAAGAAACTGAGAGTCAGGGGCTTCAGGGCATGAAACCCCTGACTCAGTAAGGGCTAAAGACCCTTCCAGATTGCTTTCTGCTAGGACAGCAATATTTAGAGTTTCCTCACAGTGCAGTTACATGAGGCAGAAGATGATTGGCTTATGGACATTGCCTTGCTTATGTATGATTGACAGGCACGCCCCACTCAAACCCTATAACTGTTGTGTGCATTCCAAAAATAAACTGAGACAACCACCTGAGGTGGGTCTCCAGCCAGTTCTCTCACCAGCTCCCGGAGTCTGTGTGTGTTGATTCTGCATCTCTACCCAGCCCCGTGACAAGGTAGCCGAGTGACCATCGATCACGAAGGGACTAGGAACACATTCACTATACCTTCCTATTCCTATGAGGAAGCACCTGCCACCTCATCAAGCACCAAGCAGTTTTCTTGGCCCAGAGGTGGAGCTTTTCCTCCATTTATTTACTGATTTTTGAGGTGACAGTAACTCCTGTTGAAACCCCTACAAACCCATTCAAACAGAAACTAAGGTCCAAAGGCAGCAATTTTCTGAAGACTGATTTTGGCATTTCCCAGTGAAATTGGGAGTAACACCGGAGTGTTCCATAGGTGATGGCAGCTGGCAGCTGGTCCCTAGAAGCTCCAGAAGGAGGATTTGCTGGTGCCAACTTGGCAGCCAGTTCTTAGTTCAGTCCTGACTTCCATGTGCAGGTACGATTTGACATCTAATCTGGTCAGGGAGTTCAGTGCTTCAATGAAAACTCAGAGCTTGCACTCCCTGAAGAGTCATATCTGGGCCCCAYTGTTCCAGGAGATGAAGTGGCCTGAAGGGAAGGGTGATTTGATTATGGTGTGAGCAACTCAATCACAGGGTGCTGAGGTTTGTGCTCATGGCCGTGGCTAGCACTTTCATCCAGGTATGTGCGGGTCTAAGGGAAGGAGGCAGCATTGCCATTCCTCAAATAACAGAAGTAGAGAGTGTTCAAGCCAGATGGGACTAAGAAAGTCCATGAATCCCTGGGACCACTTGGGGACTGTCCATCTGCCATGCGGTGAGGAACATTTTGGGGGGACTTATAAGGAGCATTCACTTAAGTCACACAGTGTTAAGCACTAGGTATGAAGAGGTGGTTTGGATGAGCTCTCTGTCTTCTGAGACTCAATAAGGGCATTTATAGAGGGGTTAGACTCTGCCAAGTTCTCCAGGTATTGAGAACTCTATCTATAAGAAGCTCATTTTAACCTCACCGAGCCCTGTAAGGAGATCCATTATCTTTTCATAAGAGAGAAAACTCAAAAAAGTTTCTGGAGACTATCATGGTATGTGGAGTAAGCCAATCCCCCCAAAAAACAAAGGCTGAGTGTTCTCTCTGATATGTGGATGCTGACTCAAAATAAGCAGGCAGGGGAGGGAAGAATAGAAGTAGACTGGATTAGGCAAAGGGGAATGAAGGGAAAAGAGGGGGATGAGAACAGGAAGGATAGTGGAATGAATGGGACATAACTTTGCTATGTTCATATATGAATAGATCATCTACAACCACAAAAATGGGAAGTTATACTCCACGTATATATGATATGTCAAAATACATTCTACTGTCATGTATAACTAAAAAGAACAAATAAAAATTTTTAAAAAGGTTGTTTCCTAAGGTCATACTGTTGGCAAATGATGAACTCAGGTAATCATACTTAGTCTTTCTGATTCTAAAGCCCAAGTTTCTATAACCATCCTCTTACTGTCTGCCAGGTTAAAGAAAAATTGGGGCAATAATGATATAAATAATACCTACCTGGTGTCAAGGATTACAATGAAAGGTGTGTATGGGGTCCCCAGCATAGTTCCTGGAACAAAATAAATTCTCTGTAAAAGACTGCTGTAAGCATTGGCATTAGGCCCTTGGTGTGGTATTGAACTGATATGTTCTATCTTATAGAGGTTACCAAGTGCTACTCTTGGAGGCATGGAAGAAAGTGACTACCTGTCAGTGGGGACTGCAGCTGGCTACACAGAGGAGGAGGTATCTGAGTTGGATCTCCAAGGGCAAGTAGAGGTCGGGCAGGTGGAGAAGGCAGGTGCAAGATTGAGCTGACTAGGAAGAATATGTAAGGGGAACACAGAGTTGTGGACAAGCATCTGGAAAGAACCAAGGTAGGAAAGCATGAGGTTGGGCAGATGCAGCAATCCCAGGGCTGCTGAAAGACACAGGTGGAGGAAATGCCCTGAAGCTTTGGAGGGGCTGCCCTTCTCCTGAGACTTGAGGGAGAGGAGGAGCCCATGGTCCCCAGTAGTGCTGGCTCCCTCCTTGAAGTAGCAAGCAAGGCCATCTGCTGAGCCTGGCCTTTGAGGTGGGTAATAAGCCAGAAAAGAGGGTCAGCCTCCTGGCAACCACCCAAGCAAAGACTTAGTGGCTGTGAGTGGGTCAGATACTTCCTCCCACCACTCACAAGGACAATGGAATAATGATTCCTGACAGCCTTGCAGGGACGTGGTGAGGCATGTAGTACACTATACCAAATACCACGTGTGTGCCAGAGGCCTTGATGTCCTGTGGTGTGCACGTTCAAATGAGAGGCATAGATAACACACATGTTCTCAGTGTTTTGCAGACATGAGCCTATTGTTTCTACAACCCCTTGATTCATCTGTGCATTCATTCATTTGGTAAATGTCTATGGAGACCTCAGTGCTCTGTGACATCAGGCATCCACAGTAACTGTTGGTGCTGTGCTCAAGTTACTCAGACTTCAAGGTGAAAGGCACTAGTCAGTGGGATCATGTGACCATATCCAGACCAGATCTGTAGTGTCTGAGGGTCACATGGTTGTACAAAAGAGGGTCCCTTCCTTGGACCAAGGGGATTGAGGGAGGCTTCCGGGAGAAGGTGATTTCTAAGGTGAGTCCTGAGAGATGAGTGGGAGTCAGCCCAGAGAAGGGGAAATGTTTTGGGGGATGGAGAAGGTTCCAAGTACAGGAGCTGAATTTCACTTGTGAAGACTCAGAGATGAGTTATGGGAAATTTCAATATGAGGAAACAGAGGCCATGGAGAAAAATCAAACCTTGTGCAAGTTAGAGGASAGAAAAAAAATGTACAGTTCAGCCAGCTAGGTGTGTGATGGGGGAGTAAAGTTAGAGGAATCCAAGATGGAGGAAAGAATTCCCTAGAAATGGCCTAGGAAGAGTGGGAAGCATCACTCCTCTTACGACTCATTATCTGCTTTTAAGTTTTTTGAAGGGTGTCCATATTGTTCTTGCAATGGCTGTGTTAATAATCCACAGCTCCATCCCACAGTACACGAGAYGACTTCTTTCTCCTGGTCTTCACCAGCATGATTTTATATTTCATTTTTGCTGTTGCTGTTGTTGTTTTGTTTTATAACAGGGTCTTGCTAAGTTACTGATTTTGGCCTTGAATTTGTGATCCTCCAGCCTCAGCCTCCTAAGGTGCTGGAACTCTAGGCATGCATCCCAGCTGTTTGTTTATTTTTTAATCACAGATATTCTAACAGATGTGAGGTGATATCTCATTGTAGTTTTAATTTGCACTACTCTGATCATTAGCAATGTTGAATATTTTTCATTTACATGTCTTCTTTTAAGAAATATCTGTTTAGGTTTTTTGCCCATTAAAAAAAAAAAAAAAACAACATGATCCAGCAGTCCCACTACTGGGAATATATTCAGAGGAAATGAAGTCCGTTTGTCAAAGAGACACCTGCAGTCCCATGTTCTTTGCAGCACGAGTCACAGGAGCACATGGCCAAGTTATAGCCTCAATCTAAGTATCCACCAGCCAGTGAATGGGAAGAGAGAATGTGATACATATGAACCATTATGTGGACTCATATTCACATATAGGAAAGGGTGGAATCCTGTCATTTGTGGCAAACTTGATGAGCCTGGAGGACATTACATAAAGTGAAATGAGCCAGGCACAGAAGGACAAAAACTGCACGATGCCA